ACCATTGAAGGAAGCTGCGACTATCTCCGATGTTGCATTTGTGTCTAGTTTTAATACCGCATATGTTGTCTTTCGCAGCGATTATGATACAATCATAACGGTTTGCCGCTCTGTCTTTCCTGGTCAGGAAGTAGTATCCAGCTAGAAGAACTTCCTTTTCATGGACACAAGGGTAGAGCCATGTCTCGCAACCAATGAAGATCTCTGGATTGGTTTCAGTTACGGTCAGTTAGAGAGATGCCCGTTTAGCCCTCAGGCTCTGGAAATTTACAATGAGGACGCGTAGAATGATTGAAGGCGCCTGGTGTGGCTGCTGCTACTTCTCATAATAGATAACGAGCTGTGTTGCGGAGATCCAAACGACTGGACAGATGAAAAGCTGTTGGGGGAGGATTGCGGGTCATCTGAGGGGACGTTGTCCCACATAAACTACGTTTGTCTTGTATAAAAAAGGTAAAAACTAAATGTCTTAAAACTTTGACTTTCTAAAGATGTTATCTGGTACGAAAAGAGCCCTCCGGTCAGAATAAGGTTTACGATACTGTGATATTTACATATTCTCGTTACTATAGATCACTAAGGTCTATGTCTTGGGGATTTTGAACATCAACAGCAGAAAGCTTCTTTGCTAAAGCAATGCTCTTTCAATATACAACTAGACGATAGTCAAAAAAGTGAAAAATACGCACGAAAAGTAATTGTTATGACTAATTAAAGTGACTCTTGTTTCAGTTTCTAACATACCAAAAGAAAGAAACAAAGATATCATTTATTTAAACATTGAACAATATGTGCTTCCTTGGATGTGCGTATCTTCAGAAATTTGAAATAAAATTGTTTAAAAGAGAAATGACCAGATTCTCCCGAATTTTTTAAAAGATTAATACATTTTTACTTGAAAAGTGGATACAGTCGTTCACATCTAGATTGTGACTACCATATAACAAATCTATCTATACTATTGAATCGTTTTTTTTTTGTTTTTGTTTCATACATTTCACAACAAAATTATGAAAATTTTATGATTTTTTCCGTTTTGTTATTATCCATTAAAATAGAAAAGGCGAAAATAGAATGATTTAGAAACTCTTGTTACGATTTCAATATATCTTAAAAATTTATGTAAGTCAAATAATGCAAGGTAAAAGCCATATGTTAATACGACTAAAAGAAAAATTTAAAAATAGATGCATTGGCTAAAGAATTATTTAATACTGAACCAGTAGACTTATTGTCATATACCTCTTTCTAAATAGTGAAAATATCCGTTATTTGGTCCCTTTTCAGAATATGTAGGTAAGATATTCCTACTTTAATGCTATACGGTATGAACACATTTCTGAATTCGAAATTTCTCCATTTTCATGTTTAGATGTTGTGTTCTGTTTAAGCTGGTGCTTTGGGGCGTGGCTGGTGGCTAGCAGTTACCGTTGCCGTCATACCGTGCCTGCAATCTTTTCAATTTTGCCGATCTTAAGAGATTTTCTTTTTCTGTTTTACCCGTATGTCTGAATGGAAATACAATTTGGACTAAGTTGCCTTTAACAAAAGTTTATAATATCAACCCCCTATCTTAAAAAATAATATTTTCGATCACTCCTTAATCATGTTGCTCTTTTAGATTTCGAATTGGACACGTAGAAGGTACATATTTTATCTATAAACACGATACGATGTTCGATTTTGTTTATCCTGCTTTGAATATTTTATTGTCAAAATACTTCATTCTTGAATGCTATGATTTTTTACATAGTTTTGTTATAGATCTTTTAGAGTAAATTCACTCGTGAAACGTTTGCCACAGTTCCATTAAAAGCCTTTTCGATTACTTACAGGAAATCAAGTTTATTTTTAGTTAATCTAGAGATTGAGACCGGTATGATATAATGCTCACAGTAGTTCTGTCGTTTATAATTTCCTTTTGGTTCGCACTACGCTCCCTTCGCAGCTTACTTAATACCCTCACGCTACTTCAGACAGTGAGAGATAGTGAAACATCCGACCGATGAGCAGGAGAGTAGCGTCGCACCAACACATTAAAGATCATATGGGGATTTTCCAGTCTTACTTATGGAGGAATACATCAGCGAGCAACTGAGTATATAGATCTTACATTGAAAAATTTATAAAGGCTAATGTTACAAATAAATTTCTAGGATTCAAGTTAGTTGTGTAAATGACTTATCACATGTATACGTTGAACAAGGACTTCTGTTGGCGATTTCATAATTTTTAGGACTCTTGGCCCCATTTTCTTTAGCTAAAGATAATTTTATTTAATGTTCAGGCAATTTTGTTTCGGTATAGGTTTCGTGTACGTTTAATCTCATGCTCATGTTCGGGTCCTTTTTATATTATTATAAATATTTCATGTTAGTTTATATAGTGCTCACCTTTGTTTTTGGGCTGATATTAGTTTTATGTAGGGGCTGTATTAGAATTTATTTATAGCTCTTGATTGCTTTTGTAGTTTATGTAGGGATAATGTTCGTTCTTAATCTTCTACCAAAATTTGTTTTATCTAGGACACATGATACATTAATAATTTTAACTAGGGCGTCATTACGTTTAGCTACAGTTTACGTTATTAGCTGTACGTTTGGGTTATGGGCTACCTATGCCTTGATCCTGTTGTCCTTCTACTTTCACCTAGGACTTAAAAGCACAATAAGCCTCAGAAACAAATAAATACAGGTATTTCATTCTTTTGAAAGGGCAAATATGAGTTTTATGGTGTTTAAATATTGGTTTTAGAGCACGTCAGATGCTTAACACATATAAAATTTAGCGCTTCCTGTGTAATTATTTGTCATAAAAGTAGCAAAATGTAAACAAAGTAGTATATGTATTTTGACGTCCATACAAAATACTTAATTACTATAACTGTACTAATTGCAAAACGTCATCAGAAGCAAAAGATGGTTTAGTAAATTGGCAAATGAGTATTGGTTTGAAACTGTAATAGGTCACAAAAATTAAAAACTTTTTGAGAAATGAAAATAAAAGTCTTTCTGGGGGTAAAGTGGAACCTTTGAATTAGTGTTTTCTAGAGCTCATCATGTTATTTTTACCATTAGCATACATTAGTCTTTGGGACTGAATTGTCTTTGTTGTCTTCTGTCTTGCTTCGTCTATTGTTGCAGGTGACTGTCTTGTTTCTCTGCCCTCCGTCTGTAAGGTCATGCGTACTTTTTATTGTCACTGGACTCTGTCCTTTTGTATATAGATTTACCAGATCATTTCTGTAATTTAGTTATAATGTCTTATGTTAATAGGGAGCTGTTCATTTTGCGGGGATTCATATTATTTACACTGTGTCGTCAGTTAGGGACATGTTTGGGCTGTGAGTAAGGTTGTGCGCGCCTTCAAGCGATATGAAGCTTGCACTTTCCATTATCGTCCATGAACAGGTTTAATCAAGCCGGGCCTGCAACATTTTCAATTTTGTTGTTGTGTACGTTCTTAAGGATTCCTTATTACTCTCTATTTTGAACCTTTCAAAAGTTGTACTATGTGTTCCTTCACATGCATATATTGTATTTAGTTACATGTTTAGTATGGTGCCGGGTTCTGTGATATTGTTTCGTGTTAAGCATCAGCTGGAAGTATTTCCTTTTCAAACACACTCATTTCTCATTTTTGCAACCCCTGCTTTTCCTTACACCCAATCTTTTTTCATTCAATTTCCGTCCTTAGGAACTGTTATAGGTATGTCCATTCTCTTTGCCTCGGTCCTGGCTGCCCTACTAGTGAGTTTAGCCTATATCGAGGACTGCGGTTGACAAACATCGCCTTGCCTAAGGCTCATTTAAAATTCATCTACTTCCAGGTTAACTATATTTTGAGCTCGTAATTATTACACAGAGGGGCAATTGTGGTATTTCCCTACCAGTAAAACTTGAATTTGGACATATTAATTTACTTTGTCGGTTTGACGTAAATCCCGACCAAAAACAACACCAACAACAAAAAGAAAAGCAGAAAATTATTTAAGTTTAATATCAACTTCATTAAGTGCTCATATTACATTTATCTAGGGCTTGTTATCACCTGATCACTTTATTTATGGTTAACGGTAGTCTTTTTATTGTTCATATTTGTTATTTATAGAGTTCATGGTAGTTAATATTGGTTTGCATTTTAACTTTGTAATCATGTATATTATATAAGGCATGCTGTCAATTTGGTATAGTAAATGTTAGCTTTACCTAAGGCTATTGTTAGCTTTATGAAAGGTTCGTTTACGTTTTATACAGTGTTCATTTCTATTTTAACTCCGACGAATGGTTCTTGTTAATACATATATAGCGTATTCTTAATGTAAGTTCAATGTGAAATGTAGTTTTATCTGTGGATGTTTCTAAATTCAAAATGTCACCATTTTCGTGTTTAAATGTTGAATTCTGCTTAAGCCGATGCTAGGGGGCGTTGAGGTAATTTGCACGTTCCAGTACCGTCCATGAACAGGCTAAATCAAACGGAGCCTGCAAAATTAAAAATTTTGTCGTGTTGGCCTTTCTATAGGGATTTTGTTTGTCCCTCTTTTAAATAGAGCTCATAATATTATCATCCAGGGTATTTTAGCTTTATTTAGAGAGTAGTTTAGAGGTCATGAGGTTTTTATCTAACGCTCGTGTTGGATTATTTAGGGTGAATTTTTATTTTACTCGTACATAAAGCTCATTTTAGCTTTAACTTTGAATCATGTAAGCTCTATGTATAGCTTTTTTAGATTTATCATGTGAACGTTGTCAAGAGGTCATGAAAATATGAGCTTTACCTTGGATTCCGAGAAATTTTGATAAATGTATAAAGAACTTACAGTTAATTTTGTGAGTAAAATACGACCGTAAATACACTGAACATTACAGATTTACTGCATTGCCAATATAATACTTAAATAATTTGAGGATAATCGTTGAAAGTAAAAATGCATGCTACTGAAACATATTTCAAAATAAGGTAAATCTGGGTATATTTCTACAGGAACACAACACTCATTTACTCATTACATCAATTTTATTATTGATATAACTACTTGCAATATTCTATAAATCATGAATTGTGTTAGGTTTGTATCCAGAGAAAAATTCACAAGAAAACTTTTAAGTTAGTACATCATTCTTCAGTTTGTATTTCTTCCTGCCTTGGTTCACTGAAATAGAATAAATGGACTTTAAAGCATTTTATTTACTCCAAGAATAAGCCACGGTAAAATTAGTATCACAAATTTAATTCAAATTACACTGTTTAATTAAAACAAGGGATATTATATAAGTAGGTAAAGTTAGAAGTTATAGCAGTATTACAGCTGTAACTTCTGTTACAGTTATATTTGTTTTAAATATCGGCAGTAACAACAGTAATAAAAAAAAGTTTGTACTAATGGTAATTAATGGTTTGAAAACAACTGCTTGTACGGCTTGATTCAAACATTTTACATGACATTAACTAAATGTTCCATGAAGTAATGTTATAAAGGAAACTTGGAAACTATGTATAGTTTTCGAAGAACATATGAAATTTGAGCATGCTGAATAATATAAATCCACTGGTATCAAATTAAATATATGTGTGGATAATTTGAAATTGTAATAAAGCGAATGTTTCTTCAAAATGAACCGTTACTTACTTGTAAACACTTTAACTTTACAAATATTATTCATTAATAATCAGTGAACATTATTTATAAAGAATGTCATTTTCGTACACTGAGTTTAACTCGATATTAAACTCTAGACAATCAAGTACATTGTAAACAAGAAATGATTTACAAACAAAAATCATCATTAGCTTATCTGTGTTAATCAAATATATTTAACAGTTTTTTCGATACATAATATTAAGGAGATGCGTTTACAAGTTGCATGGTAACTTAATTAGCTGCGGAACAGTACTCTGGTTTTGAGTCACGGTCATTCTGCACAAGTTTGCCATCGCAGATATTATGAAAGTAGATAAAATTTTGTAAAGTTCCAGAAACACCATATACAGTTTATTCTTTTTATCTTGAAACAGATTAAAAGCATTTATTTTAACAATTTACTCACCAATGCTTGTTCACAAATATAACTGGCGGTGCCGCCTGAACAAGTATACAGGTACCAAACATTATACAGCGGGCTATAAAACGCATAAGCACAATCATTTAACGCAGAATTGAAAGCATAAGAATAAGCAAAGTTTGGTGGACTGAAAGTTGGTGTTTCTCCCGAATATTCCCAAACGAATTGTCCTTCAGTTGTTCTGTCATTTAATCCTATCCAAACATCTGTAAAATAATATTTTAACATCCACAAATAAAGTACAACTTAATTTCCATAGATTTTAAAAACGTATAAAACTTCAAAGTAATTGTCTAGCTTGAAAAATAGAAAAAAAAAAGACTCAATGCATTGAAATTCATAGGATCCCTTGTTTCAGTGACGGTTTAGTTCCAGATTTCTTTTCAAAACATACTGCCATTTAAAAGAGCAATGCTTCAAAATGTCATTACGCAGTGGCACTGTTCAATAAACATAAAACCTACATACATCTTTGAAAAATGTGGTTAAAAATACTTTGTGCATCATAGCATTAAAAGTTACATAAGAACCCCTCTTTTTAAGCATTTTCCTCATTTTTTTTCATTAACTGAATCATTTATTTTGATTAAGTTTTCTCAACTTTAGTTTGATTTCAAAAAATCGTTTTGTTTTTCCGGCTAAATGTTTGACTTCATGTAAAATTTACTGGGAAAATAGATTATAAGAAGAATTTTTTCACTTTTTTTTAAAAAAAATTACAAACAGTAATCTCGGAATCCCTTTAGTCCTTCTAAAATAAAATGTAAAGAAATACAGATCTTGCAAACCTATAATAAGTTTTATGGATAGTTTAAAATTGAAACTGAAATTATAGTTCTTGCATTAAAAATCAAATAAAATGGTTATTTCTAAATTACAATTAATATGATTGTTCTTTAACTTTCAAGTTAAATTCCTAAGATAGTCAAGTCTTGTGTAACTAAACTTCCTCCGTTAAAACAATTTACACCGCGTTTACATCTCATTACTTTTTATAGTGAACATTTTATTTTACATAAAAACTTACTAGTTACAAGTTTGTTAAAAATGACAAGACCACCAATAACGTACATGATCCTATAAGTTTACTCATGTACGTGAAAACAGCGAAAAACACACCAAACAATCCGAACTTAATATCAAGTAGCCCCAACTTTCCTGTATATTAAATGATCACTAATTGTTTTCTTCTCTTCCCAAAAATATGGATAGACGGCAATATGGAGACTATACACACCATTTTTATGTTGACTATAGGGAAAATATTAAGAGCTGTCCTACTCACGGTGTGTCGGCGACCTCGTCAAGATTTATTTTTCTAGTTTTTACGCTTTTTGTCTATCAGTTCTTAAGTTTTTAGGGTATTTACTTCAAACTTCCAATATATATTTCTTATCATCAACCACATCATATGTGACAAGCTTTACAACATTAGCACAAAAATCATTCGAATAACCAAACCTAAAATTTGCATTTTTTATTTTAAAAAATGTTCGTAAAGTATTGTAATATTTTAACATGAAATGCTAAAAAAGTAATAATAAATAAAACCCACATTATTTTCGAAATTACATCGTGTACACAATTACTTTACAGGACCCTCTTGAATTTCATACAATCTAAAGGGACTCCACTGAGGTTTAAAAGCTTTAAAACATAACATTTGAATTTCTTACATAAATGAGCTGGGGCACTTTAGACAGAAATATATGCTAAGATAGTTAAGAAATATACTTTGAAATTATTGAAACTCGTATTTATATGCTTTTCGTAGTCCGATTTGAGTTAAAGCGTTTAAACGCTTTTCATTTTTGGTCATTTATTTACAATGTGAATAATTATTCTGGAAAAACGAAGTGCGCGAATGATCTGAAATTTTGCACAAAGATTAGAGGTCTAAACCTACATCAAATGGTACATTTATATGGAAAAAAAGTCCCATCATATCAAAAAACCTCAGTAGAGTCCCTTTAATATTGCAAAATAACCTTAAAAGGTGTGTTCTTGTATGATTTAATGTTCTGCTTGATATTTTCTATAACTCCATTTGTGTATACAAAGTATATGCTTTGCCCGTTGCGGACGAATATCTCTGGGTTTATAAGCAGGAAGGAGTCAATGAAAAAGAACCCATTTAATTTCTGTAAATGAAATGAGGGGTAGTTTTGATAATTCCAAAAAAGGCCCCATGTTTTTTAAAACAACATTTGCTCTAAAAATACATAGAAAAAAACAAGTTTACAGGGATCCTATAGATTTCCTATATACTGATAGGATACTCTTAAAATGATCAGTATATACGTGTACTTGTATGTTTTAATACGGCATGAAGAAATAGACACCTGTCTTTAAATACATTATAAATGTATATAACTGTTGAAGTGACTGGTATTGTTTGCATTTACTGTAACACCGTATTAGTGATAAAGTATTTTAGATACTGACCTATATACATTGCTGCAATTGTAATCATACAAATAATCATACAAATAATGTCACAACAAATAAATGTTGATATTCTTTATAAACTAGGAAACTCTATTCGAAATGTATTTAAACTTTTATTTCTATCTTGTGTGTCACTGATGAAGATACCAATGTATTCATATACGAACATCAACATTTCTTGAAGATTAATAGATTAATGTTTCTTTGTTGACTTTAAAAAAAAACTATTCTTGAAAAAAAAAAACGAATTCCGGCACAAATAATTGATTTAGTGCAACGAAATTGAATATACCTGAATAAACATTTTAATAAATGTCGTTTACACATGTAGCTCTTTAAGATCCTACATAACAGACGGAAAGGATTCAACTTCATAAAAAAATTGCAGTTTGAAGTTTGTTTGTGTCACGGTTCAGAATTGTTGACTATTTAAGGAAGGAGATGTGTAGGTTCGATCCTCACTCGGGTCGAAATCTTTCATGTGAGGAAGCCATCCAGCTGGCTTACGGAAGGTCGGTGGTTCTACCCAGGTGCCCGCTCGTGCCTGAAATAATGCCCGGAGGGGCACCTGGGGTCTTCCTCCACCAATAAAGCTGGGAAAAAATCGACGAAAAAATCTCGGCGGGACGCTCTAGGATGGCCCGACTTGAGTGTACGGTCGCCCATATGGGCTTTCCGGCGGCAACCTTAAATAAACGCATTAAAAAAAAAAGCGGCTAGACAGTTCAGTCGGTAGAGCAGCGGTACGGTGTAATATTCCAAGGGTCCCAGGTTCGAGTCCTAGTCAGGCTGCACATTGTTCTCACCCTGTGACATTTGGCGCCCAAAAAGGAACCGTGACTGAATATAGCTCAGTGACATTTGCAAAGATTTTATTGTGGTGTAGTTTTATGCCATTAAATAGATTTAAAAATAACAATAACAGGTTTTGCAATAATAATATTAAGATGCTAAATATCTGAAACTACGGAGAGGGACACAGAAGATGCATAACTTCTAATTGGTTTGTAAGTTATGGATAGCTAGAGCCATGTAAGCTAACGATTATAATTTATTGTATCCATAAAGCAAAATTAAGCTTGATAAATATTATAACATACAATTTTTGCTATTTTGATCCATCAAATTATTTGCAAACAAATTTTCAGCATCGCTTGTGATCTCAATAAGGTATGCACCTTTAGATTCGCAGTCGCTCTGTAGAAGAAAATACAAAACAATATACATGTATAAATGCTTGTTAACCCATTACTTCATATACACGCCTTTTAACGCCTTTTTCACCCCCCCTTTTTGTTGTCTCAAATGATGGAAAATGCCTTATATAGGCCCCAAACACTTGTTTTTGTTTGAGAAATGTTGCTAAAAAAGTGACCTCTTTTTCGGCGCGGCCCCCCCAACCAAAAGATACATCAGGGGGTTGCCAGAAGGGGGATGTGCCCCCTTCTGTTTGGGGGGTTTGAAGGGGGGCGGAGTCCCCCTCATCGCCAAGAAAATTTTGGACTTGTGAGAGGCTGTAAATGACCCCAGATTGATCATAAGGTAACATGTAACCAACGTTGAAAAGCATTTGACTCTATCTCAATCCATTTAGAAGTTGCAGCACTTTGAAATCAATTTTGATGGAAAAAGTCAACGCAAAATAGTGATTTTTGGCAATTTTGAGATGTCCCCTCGTTGCCATGGTAACAGAAAATTTAAGCCTGATCATGTTGTTGCAAGGGCAATGGTCCAGTCAACATTTGTGCGAAGTTTGATTAGTGTTGAAGCAGTTTTTATAGTATTATAGCAATTTGAATTTGTAACGGGAGACTTTTCAATGAAAACAGCCATTTTTCACAAAATGCTCATGAAGTAATGGGTTAACAATCATGTTTATGTCATTATCAATATGATATATGTCACTTGTAACTTGCAATACCTAAACAACTAAAATAATACACTTCCGGACAGAATTACTTATCTATGAAATGAAGCGTTAAGAGAGAGAAGGTGATTTGGAAATAACAATAATTATGGATATAAAGTAACTGCTATTTGCGTACGGTTATTTTTGCTTTTATATGTGTTTTTAGAGAGATTTCTTTGTTTTCTAATCTTTTAGAGAATTAAGATAACTTGGAAAAGGTAAGAAAATAGCATTTATCTTTTATATATGGTAAATATGAGCTAAAACACAGCCAAATGTTTGGCCCAACGTGCCACCAATTGTATCGTATAACTGGTATTCGCAAAGCGTATACAGATGAATTAAATACGATTATATGATTTTCATTTTGTTATATCTTCACAAATATTTGTTCTTTATTACTAAATACTTTCCATTTATAACAGTTGTGAAATATTGTAAGTTGACTTACAAAATTATTAAACTTTTCAACATTCTATCACAAATCATATACTATTGTAAAGAAATATAAAAACATTCGCATAATGTACAAGGTATTCTCACCTTGGCTTCTTCCCAAGTCATAAAACCAGATACAAACAGATAACAACTGCTTTCAAATTCGGTCCATCCTTCAGGACACGCGTCTCCAGGAACTTCTTTAAAAGAGTATGCACATAAACACACTTAAATTTCTATGACAGATTATTTACTAATTGTTTTATATTATAATGGGAATATTTCTTATAGCTTTATATGACGAAATAATATAAATGACAACAATTAATGATTACTGCAACATAGAAGACATTGTTTGCTAAAACTATCTACAGATATGTTTGTGTGTTAACCGTGGTCATTACTGGTCTCAAAATTTAAGCATGGTTGACAGATATATTCGTTCTGTCGCAGGGTTAAATATTTCTTGTAGAACAGAAACAAAATCTGGGCGAAGGCTCGATGTTTTAATAAATCAAAATAAAAATTGTCTAAAAAAATAATTAAATAATCACACATCGTACAAATATTTATTTATATTTTGTAGCAAGCAAATTGGGACATACGAAGGATATACGGCGTAAACAAAACTTCAACATTAGCAATTTAAACTTAATAAATATTGTAATAAAGTTTAGGTTCAGGCTTTATGTGACAAAATGATATGTTTCACATTATTGATTATCTAAACTAAACTTCCATACAAACATATAAGAAAATGTAAAATAGAAATTCGAAAACTAGGACAAAGAATATTAGAAAATAAATTTGCCATAGTATCCACGTAATGTACATGTTAGAATAAGTCATTTACATGAATGGACTTTAATTTTTAAGCAAGAATAAGTAAAGTTCGATAATGGAGGATATCCCCTTCTATAGCAGAAATCAATCTAAATTTTGTTAGACATTTTAACAACTAGACACGTATTTTTTATAAAGAAAAAGAAAACTTAAAAATTATAAACAAGGCAATGATGGATTGAAACAAATTATAAGAAATCGAGTTACCTATTTCACAATTGTTACCAGTAAATCCAGGCACACAAGAACATGTATATTCGTTTACTCCGTTATTACATGTTCCACCATTTATACATGGATTACCCGAGCATTCATTTATATCTAAAGATGTCAAAGGAATACATACAATTTAAAATCACTCTTGTTGGGTAAAAAGTAACACTTGTCAAAATGTTTTTTAAACCTCGAAAATGTAAATGTTTTGACTTCCAATAGTCCGTGTACAAATTTCTTATTCATTTCATGGAAAACTTTGTAATATAAGCAATTTATATTTTATATTTTGTAGCAATCAAATTGGGACATACGAGGGAAAAACGGCGTAAAAAAGAAAGCAATTCAAACATAATAAAAATGTAAAATACAGATTGCATTCAGGCTTTGTGGGACAAAATGATATGTTTCACAATATTGATTATCTAAACTAAAATTCCATACAAACTTATAAGAAAATGTTACATAGAAATTAGAAACTAGGACAAAGAATATTAGAATATAAATTTGCCATAGTATCCATGTAATGTACATGTATGAATAAGTCATTTACATGAATGGATTTTAATTTTACAAGCAAGAATAAGTAAAGTTCGATAATAGGGGATACAGTATCCCATTCGATAGTAGAAATCAATCCAAATTTCGTTAGACATTTTAACAACTAGACACATATTTTATAAAGAATTAGAAAACTTAAAAAAAAAATTAAATAGGCAATGATGGATTGAAACAAATAATAAGAAATCAAGCTACCTATTTCACAATTTGTACCAGTATACCCTGGCGCACAAGAACATGTATATTCGTTTACTCCGTCGTTACATGTACCATCATTTATACATGGATTACCCACGCACTCATCTACATCTAAAGCTGCCAAAGGGATACATACAATTTAAATCCAGTTTAGGAAAAGCAAAACATGTCGTATTAAAAATGTGTCATTTTCAAACAGATTGCCATATCAGTAAACCAATTGAAAATGATTCTAAATATTCTAGGACATCTGCAGGTGTTAATTATTACATACATCATGTAAAAACATAGTATCAAATAATTACTATTATGTAGAGCAATATACTATCATATATGACCGCAGAATATGGAAGGTAATATCCGCCATAGCAAATACAATTCCATTCAGGTAAATTACTTATTCTGACATGTAAAATGCATTGATATAATTTTAAAATAATATTTTGATATTCTTTGCCTCTATTTCTAATTTCTGCGTCCCATTTTCTACTTTGTTTGTATGTAAATTCTAACTTAATATGTAAAATTATACTGTGAATTTCTTAACAAAATGGTCACGTTTACACTTGTAAATTGTTGTTTTAAAATCACTCTTGTTTTGTAAATCGTAATAATTGTCAAAATGTATTTTAAAACTCATAAATGTAATTGTTTTGACTTCCAATAGTCCGTGTACCAATTTCTTTTTCTTTTCATGGAAAACTTTGTAATATAAGTTTTTTTTTATATTTTGTAGCTAGCAAATTTGGACATACAAAAGAAATAAGGCGTAAAAAGAGAACTTCAACATTTGCAATTAAAACCTTATAAATATGTATAATACAGCTTGCATTCAGGGTTTTTGTGACAAAATGATGTGTTTCACAATATTGATTATCTAAATTTCCATACAAACAATCAAACATATAGGAAAAATGTTACATAAAATTTAAACTAGGACAAAGAAAATAAGAATATGAATTTGCCATAGTACCCATGTAATGTGTATATAAGAATAAGTCATTTACATGAATGGATTTGAATTAACAAGCAAGAATAAGTAAAGTTCGATGATGGAGGATATCCCCTTCTATAGTATAAATCAATCCGAATTTCGAAAGACATTTCAACAACTAGACACGTATTTTTTATTTACAAACAGAAAACTTAAAAAATATAAACAAGGCAATGATGGATTAAAACAAATTATAAGAAATAGAGTTACCTATTTCGCAATTCCAACCAGTATACCCTGGCGCACAAGAACATGTATATTCGTTTACTCCGTCGTTACATGTACCATCATTTATACATGGATTACCCACGCATTCATCTATATCTAAAGTTGCCAAAGGATACATACAATTTAAATCCAGTTTAGGAAAAGCAAAACATGTCGTATTAAAAATGTGTCTTTTTCAAACAGATTGCCATATCAGTTAACCCATTGAAAACAATGTTAAATATTCAAGGACATCTGCAGGTGTTTATTCACAAATATTCTTTCAAGTCCTGTTTCAAAAGTCATGTATCTAATTTGGTATTTCCATTTTTTTGTTATTATATTCCGTTTCATGATAAATGAAATCAGTAGATATCATTTTTTTATCTCTTACCCATATTACAATGGATTCTCAATTACATCATGTACATACATTGTATCAAATGATTACTATTATGTACAACAATAAACTATCATACATGACAGCAGAATATGGAAGGGGTTATCCGCCATAGCAAAAACAATTCCATTCATGTAAATAACTGATTCTTACATGTAAAATGCATTGATATAATTTTAAATTAATATTTTGATATTCTTTGCCTCTATTTTTAATTTCTGCATCCCATTTTCTACTTTGTTTGTATGTAAATTCACACTTTATATGTAAATTATACTGTGAATATTCTATGTATCAATTTATTAACAAAATGGTCACGTTTACACTTGTGAATTGTTGTTTTAAAATCACTCTTGTTGTGTAAAACGTAATAATTGTCAAAATGTACTTCAAAACTCATAAATGTATTTGTTTTTACTTCCAATAGTCCGTGTTCAAATTTCTTATTACTTTCATGGAAAACTTTGTAATGTAAGTTCTATATTTAGTAGAAAGCAAATTGGGACATACGAAGGAAATACGGCGTGAAAAAGAAAACTTCAACATTAGCAATTTAAACTTAATAAATATGCATAATACAGTTTGCGTTCAGGCTTTTTGTGGCCAGGGTCTTTCAAATAGAAAACACCCTGGTGTGGCAAAAATACATGTTTCACAATATTGATTATCTAAAATTCCATGCAAACATATAAGAAAATGTGAAATAGAAATTAGAAACTAGGACAAAGAATATAAGAATATAAGTTTGCCATAGTATCCATGTTATGTACATGTAAGAATAAGTCATTTTCATGAATGGATTTTAATTTACAAGCAAGAATAAGTAAAGTTCGATAATGGAGGATAACCCCCTTCTATAGTAGAAATCAAAAAGAAACAAAAACTAAAAAAAATAAACAAGGCAATGATTGATTGAAACAAATAATAAGAAATAGAGTTACCTATTTCACAATTTGTACCATTATACCCTGGCGCACAAGAACATGTATATTCGTTTACTCCGTCGTTACATGTACCATCATTTATACATGGATTACCCACGCATTCATCTATATCTAAAGTTGCCAAAAGGATACATACAATTTAAATCCAGTTAAGGAAAAGCAAAACATGTCGTATTAAAAATGTGTCATTTTCAAACATATTGCCATATCAGTAAACCAATTGAAAACGATTCCAAATATTCAAGGACATCTGCAGGTGTTAATTCATACATACATCATGTAAATACATTGTATCAAATGATAACTATAATGTACAGCATTATGCTATTATATATAACCGTTGAATATGGAAGGGGCTATCCGCCATAGCAAATACAATTCCAATCATGTAAATTACTTATTCTTACATGTAAAATGCATTGATATAATTTTAAATTAATATTTTAATATTCTTTGTCTCTATTTCTTATTTCTGTGTCGCATTTTTCTACTCTGTTTGTATGTAAATTCTAACTTAATATGTAAAATTATACTATGAATCTCTATGTATCTATTTCTTAATAAAATGGTCACGTTTACACTTGAAATTGTTCTTTTAAAATCACTCTTGTTGTGTAAAACGTAATAATTGTCAACATGTCTTTTAAAACTCGAAAATGTACTTGTTTTGACTTCCAATAGTCCGTGAACAAATTTTTTATTCCTTTCAAATATAAGTTATTTATATTTTGTAGCAAGCAAATTGGGACATACGAAGGAAATACGGCGTTAAAAAAGAAAACTTCAACATTAGCAATTTAAACTTAATAAATATTGTTAAAACAGTTTGTGTTCAGGCTTTGTTTTGCAAAATGATATGTTTCACAATATTGATTATCTCAAATTCCAAACAAACATATAAGAAAATGTTACATAGAAATTAGATACTAGGGCAAAGAATATTAAAATATAATTTGTTTTCGTATCCATCTAATGCACATGTAAAAATAAGTAATTTACATGAATGGACTTTAATTTTCAAGCAAGAATAAGTAAAGCGCGATAATGGGGGATATCCCCTTCTATAGTAGAAATCAATCCAAATTTCGTTAGACATTATAACAACTAGACACGTATTTTTTTATAAAAAAACAGAAAACTAAAAATTATGAAATAGGCAATAATGGATTGAAACAAATTAAAAGAAATCGAGTTACCTATTTCACAATTTGTACCATTATACCCTGGCGCACAAGAACATGTATATTCGTTTACTCCGTCGTTACATGTACCATCATTTATACATGGATTACCCACGCATTCATCTATATCTAAAGTTGTCAAAGGGATACATACAATTTAAATCCGTTTGAGAAGTGCAAAACACATTGTATCAAAAATGTTTCATTTTCAAACATTTTGTCAAATCAGTTATTTCATTTCCTTTTTTCTAAGTGGTACAAATCAATACAAAAGATTTGATAATGAAAGACACTAAATGTAAAGTAAAATTAATTGAGGGTTAACGAACCTTTTTCCGTACATTAACATCTGCAATCACAATGACCCATTGACAACGATTTTAGATATTCAAGGACATCTGCATTTGTTCATTCACAAATATGGATTCAAGTTTTGCTTGCATAAAGTCATATGTCTAATTTGGTATTTCCATTTTTCGTTATTGAAATATTGTACTAGGAAACCAATCATGTCACGCTTTTCTTGCCCTATTGTGTTGTATATTCATCCTTTCAACCACTAAGTATGGCACTTTTTTAAACCCAGACTCGTGGCACATTCATCTTTGTATTCAGTTTCATGATAAATGTAATTAAATCAGTAGATAATTTTTTTTCTCTAACCCATTTAACAATGGATTCACTATTACATCATGTACATACATTTATCAAATGATAACTATTATGTACAGCATTAGACTATCATATATGACCGCAGAATATGGCAGGGGTTATCCGCCATAGCAAATACAATTCCATTCATGTAATTTACTTATTCTTACAGCAAGAATAAGTAAAGTTCGATAATGGAGGATATCCCATTCTATAGTAGAAATCAATCCAAATTTCGTTAGACATTTTAACAACTAGACACGTATTTTTTTTTATAAAGACACAGAAAACTAAAAAGGTATAAACAAGGCAATGATTGATTGAAACAAATAATAAGAAAATGAGTTACCTGTTTCACAATTCGAACCAGTATACCCTGGCGCACAAGAACATGTATATTCGTTTACTCCGTCGTTACATGTACCATCATTTATACATGGATTACCCACGCATTCATCTATATCTAAAGTTGCCAAAAGGATACATACAATTGAAATCCAGTTTAGGAAAAGCAAAACATGTCGTATTTAAAATGTGTCATTTTCAAACATATTGCGATATCAGTAAACCAATTGAAAACTATTCTAAATATTCAAGGACATCTACAGGTGTTTATTCATACATACATCATGTAAATACATTGTGTTATGTACAGCATTATACTATCATATATTACCGTAGAATATAGAAGAGGATATCTGCCATATCAAATACAATTCCATTCATGTAAATTACTTACTCTTACATGTAAAATGCATTGATATAATTTTAATTAATATTTTAAATTTTTTTGTCTCTATTTCTTATTTCTGTGTCCCATTTTTCTACTTTGTTTGTATGTAAATTCTAACTAAATATGTAAAATTATACTGTGAATATTCTATGTATCAATTTCTTAACAAAATGGTCACGTTTACACTTGTAAATTGTTTTTTTAGAATCACTCTTGTTGTGTAAAACGTAATAATTGTCAAAATGTATTTTAAAACTCATAAATGTATTTGTTTTGACTTCCAGAGTCCGTGTACAAATTTCTTATTCCTTTCATGGAAAACATTGAAGTATAAATTATTCCTATTTTGCAGCTAGCAAATTTAAACATTCGAAAGAAATAAGGCGCAAAAAGAAAGCTTCAATATTTGCAATTTAAACTTAATCGATATGTATAATAAATTATGCGTTCAGGCTGTGTTTGACAAAATAATATGTTTCACAATATTGATCATCTAAACTAAATTTCCATACAAAAATATAAGAAAATGTAATATAGAAATTAGAAACTAGGACAAAGAATATTACAATATAAATTTGCAAAAGTATCCATGTAATGTACATGTAAGAATAAGTCATTTACATGAATGGATTTTAATTTACAAGCAAGAATAAGTAAAGTTCGATAATGGAGGATAATCCCTTCTATAGACGAAATCAATCCAAATTTCGTTAGATATTACAATAACTAGACACGTATTTTTTATAAAGAAACAGAAAACTTAAAATTATGAAATAGGCAATGATGGATTGAAACAAATAATAAGAAATAGAGTTACCTATTTCACAATTTGTACCATTATACCCTGGCGCACAAGAACATGTATATTCGTTTACTCCGTCGTTACATGTACCACCATTCTACATGGATTACCCACGCATTCATCTATATCTAAAGTTGCCAAAGGGATACATACAATATAAATCCAGTTTAAGAAAAGCAAAACATGTCGTATTAAAAATGTGTCATTTTCAAACATATTGCCATATCAGTAAACCCATTGAAAACGATTCTAAATATTCAAGGACATATGCAGGTGTTAATTCTTACATACATCATGTAAATACATTGTATCAAATGATAACTATTATGTACAGCATTATACTATCATATATTACCGTAGAATATGGAAGGGGATATCCGCCATAGCAAATACAATTCCATTCATGTAAATTACTAATTCTTACATGTAAAATGCATTTATATAATTTTAAATTAATATTTTGATATTCTTTGCCTCTATTTCTAATTTCTGCGTCCCATATTCTACTTTGTTTGTATGTAAATTTTAAATTAATATGTAAAATTATACTGTGAATTTCTTAACAAAATGGTCACGTTTACACTTGTAAACTGTTCTTTTAAAATCACTCTTGTTGTGTAAATCGTAATAATTGTCAAAATGTATTTTAAAACTCATAAATATAATTGTTTTGACTTCAAATAGTCCTTGTACAAATTTCTTATTCTATTGATGCAAAACTTTGTAATATAAGTTTTTTTATATTTTGTAGCTAGCAAATTTGGACAAACAATGGAAATAAGGCGTAAAAAGAAAATTTCGACATTTGCGATTTAAACTAAATAAATAGGTATAATACAGTTTGCATTCAGGCTTTTTGTGACAAAATGATATGTTTCACAATATTGATTTTCTAATTTTCCATACAAACAATCAAACATATAAGAAAATGTTACATAAAATTAAACCTAGGACAAAGGAAATAAGAATATGAATTTGCCATAGTACCCATGTAATGTGTACATAAGAATAAGTTATTTACATGAATGGATTTGAATTTACAAGCATTAATAAATAAAGTTCGATAATGGAGAATATCCCCATGGAGGAAAGTAGAAATCAATCCAAATTGCGTTAGACATTTTAACAACTAGACACGTATTTTTTTATATAAAAAAAACAACAGAAAACTTAAAAATATAATCAAGGAAATGATAGATTGAAACAAATTATAAGAAATCGAGTTACCTATTTCACAATTCGAACCATTATACCCTGGCGCACAAGAACATGTATATTCGTTTACTCCGTCGTTACATGTACCACCATTTAAACATGGACTAGCCAAGCAGTCATCAATATCTAAAGTGGCGAAAGGAATAAATAAAATTTGAATCCGTTTAAATGAAAAAAAAATGAAAATGAAATATTTTGAATAAAAAGTTACACTACTAAAGGGTTTACAGAAGCACAAAACCGTCATGCTTGGCTTGCGCTAGTGAAATGTATCTGTTCCACCACTAAATATGGCTCGCTCTCTCTCCCTCTTTGAGTGTGCTCGTCGCTGATAAGGCACAGGGCATCGGCAGAAGATTTGAAGAACTTTTGATGGCGTAAATAAATTATGATCTTTTCATTTTAAATATAATATAAACTTCTTAAATTATAAAGAATAACTATTTTAATATCATATCATAAGATCATTCGAAGTGAATGTAAATTTGAACATTGAATAAATTTTGAAAATTTCCGGACAAATTACTTTTGAAACTGAAATGCACATTTTGAAATTCTTCAAATGGTATACTGATAATATATTTATTTACTTTGTTCACAGTATGTGCCTGTGAATCCGCTACCCGTACAATTACATACAATCATAGTGTTACGAAAGTAACACTGGGACCTTATAGTGCAGTCGCCTGAAAAATATTAATAGAATGATTCATTGCATGTTTCTCCTTAGTGTTCATTACATGCGTATGCTTTAATATTGCTTATAACATAACTAACTTTTTTATCAACAACAATGTTATTGTCAATTGACTTTTAGTCAACAAACAATATCATCGATGTGTTAG